TCACCCGCCCCACCCCCACTGTCCTCCCTAGACTATATAACCACCCAATCACAAACACTGCAGCCGGCAGTTAATCTTCTGCTTACCTGATGTTGAGTTTGGACAGCTGCAGACTCAGTTTCTGCTGAAATATCTTCTACTGGCACCATTTTACAAATGCCTGCTGAAATGAAAGCAATGTTATTTCACTTCTAAAAATGTATTGTTTCTTTATATCAAAGTAACAAAAAAAATATCTTTAATTTTAACCTGGAAGTATTTCATCTTCTGTCAGAATGACATTAATAAGAGATTTTTTCTGTCCTGCTGGTTTTCTTCTTTCGCTCCAAACTTCATTGGCTTTTGAGGGTTTAGAGCTGGCAGTATCTAAATGTAGGAACAAATAAATACATTTACTGTTTCATTTGGCAATTAGTTACTAGAAAAGTGTCCCTCAGTGTTATGTGTTTACCTATTTGTCTTTTGAGTTCTCTTGCTGGTTTTTGTTTTGTCTGGTTTGAATCTGCTCCTTGGAAACCTTCCTTTCCTTCTGCATCAAAACTTCTTCCTAAAAAAGCTCAAATTGTTTATTGCTGTAACTTAACATTATATCCACATTAATCTTTTGTGTTTTTAACAATTGTGGGGAATCTGGATAGTTAATATTCTTTGATTAAAACAAACATCCCTTAACAAAAATGGCAGCAGTAACACATAAACAGCCTAAATATTCTGTCTGCCCACTCTGTCCTCACCGGTCTCTTGGTCATCCTCCTCCTCATCGTCCTCTCTGAGGCAGATGTGTTTCAGGATCTGTCGTTTGTTGCTGAATGTGCGATGGCAGTTTCTGCATTCAAGCCCTAAAACCCCATCCTGGCTGTCACCTGAACAGAAAGAAAATGAGCCCAATCAGAGGGCAGTGAGAAAAGCATATGCTGCATGTTTAAACACTAAATACATCAGTTATATCTGGGCTATTTGGGTCAAACCGGGATTTAAAAAATGACAGAACTCTCAAATGAGTACTGTACCATCTTTGACTGAACCGAGCTGCTGCTCTCCCTCCGTGATTCTTTGTTCCTCTCTTTTCTCTCCACTCTGGGTTGCATCACTTTCTGCCAAGTCCCTCTTTAACTTCTTGGTAGAACCTTTCGGTCTTCCTCGTTTCCTCTTAACTGGACACTCTGAAAGCCAGTAACAGAAAGAAAGCCCACTTAAACTGGGTTTCAGGGTGACGTCCTTCTGTTTCTTGGTTCTCTTTTAAATCAAATTTGATTCAATGTTCATTTATGTGTTAAAAAACTTGTAGGTGTAACACCATGGTACTTTTACCTTGAGGCTCCTCCACAGGTGCAGTTTTAAGTGGAGCCAGTGTAGCAATGATGCTATCTGGAGACTCATGTTCAGGGTGATTCTGGGTGCAGTGGGCCAGCAGCTGGGAGCGACTGGGAGAGAACAGGTTGCAGAGGCGGCACATGAAGACAGAACCAGCTAGGTAGGCAGAAATAAGAAAAAAAAACAAGGTAGAAGTTACAGAGGTCAGCAAGGGAATACAATGATTAGGCTTCTGAAGGTATCCACATCTACTGATCTTTAGTATTTTGTCATGTTATCAACCACTAACTTTGATGCCCTTTATTGCAACTTTATGTTGCAGAGCAGTTTATAGTAGTAGTGCATAGGTGTTGGGGAGGAGGAATATCATATATTTGAATGGGTCAGATTGTTTTATAGTAATAAAAAGCTGTAATTTTGGGGCATTTGTTTTATTCAACCCAACTGAGTCGACCCTCCTACTGCTGCAAGAACATCTTTGCAAAAAGGGAGATTAGTCAGACAATATATATGTTTCCTTAAGGTCGTCATCCTGCTGGATGGTAAACCTCTCCTCTGGTCTCATGTCCTCTGTAACTCTTTTTATACTCAATCAATTCATCTTCCCATCAAGATAGCTTCACTATCTGGCGCTGGGCAATAATTCCATTAATTATTCATTTATTTTAAAAAAAATTTTTTTGTTCCAGAGCAATCCTTTTGGCTTCAGTAGTCTGTCACTTTATGTTCTTATAAGTATAGTAAAAATTTATAAAGTTAATTTGCTTAAAGCAATCTTAATAGGAAATTAGCATAAAGACTCTAAGCTATTCCAGGGTGCTGGAGGGGACAGTCCGTCTAAGTGTGATTCATGTTCCAGCCATGGAGCCAGTGGACCAGCTTTACACTCTGCAGAGTTCTGGAGGCCTCGTGGAAGTTTGCCCAACTGGTCCACATGTGCTTTTTGAACATGGGGAAAATATTTGACCAGTATGTCGCTCCCGGTGCCTTGTGGTAGGCACTTCAGGAGTGCAGTCTGGGTTCTTTACTAGGGGCCATGTAATCTGTTTTAGCGGAGTTGGATTCACATCGCCAGCATGAAGTTAGACCTGTTCTGTTGCCGGTCCTTTTCATAACCTTTATGGACAGTATTTGCAGGGGCAGCCTAGGGCAGCTGGTTAGGGGACTTGGGGATCTCATCCCTGCTTTATGCAGATGACGTGGTTATGCTGGCTCCCTCCTGCCCAGATCTACAGCATGCACTGGGGAGGAGAGTTCCTGACTCAAATGGAGAAGTTCAAGTCTCTTGAAGTCCTGCTCATGAGTGAGGGGAGAATGGAGAAGGATATTAATAGACAGATGAGGACTCAGCTGTATATCAATAACATACTGGATGGACCTTTTGTCTCGGTTGGCCTAGGAATGCCTCAAGCTTCCCCAAGCAGAGCCGAATGAGGTGTGAGGGTAGTAAGTGAGTTTCTGCTGTTCCCCCCTCATCAATCCCGAAAAAACAAGAAGACAAGCTTCAAAAATCTGACTCATCAAAAACTTGATTTGAGGAATGCACACTTTTTTAGTCAACCTGAGTTGTAGATCTCTCTAGCTTCTTCCCTGGTGCACAGATATTTCTTTGCTTAATGTTTGCCAGTTTAATAGGACATGGAGGACGTGGCTAAATAAAGGATTAAAAAATACTCTGCAACATTGTTAAAATCTAGGACATTGTTCTTTGACCCACACTTTGCACTGCAAAAACAGATCTGAAATAATTTAATTATTCTTAAAATGAGTGTATTTGGTCAAAATTTGAGCAGGTAAATAAAATGATCTGTCAATGGAATTAATATTATTGCCATTGAATAAGACAATTAGATATTATTACATGAAATAATAATGGAATCATGTTTTTTTTCCACATACTATGTATCTATATATCTATACTTTTTTTGCATTTACCTGTCTGCTGTCATTTGATGTCTTCTTCTCTAAGGTTCTTTAGCAAACCCCAGAGTCACAACAGCTGTTTTTAAACTGATGTAGAGGCGGATTACCTGCACAGTTCACATTTTTCACAAAAGCATTTGTAAAGCTAACCCCATTTGTAAAGGTTTTTTTTTAATTACATACGCATAGTTTATCGAGGTAATGTGACAAAATATAAACTAGTTCAAAGAGAAGTTATACTTTTGCAAATGTATACAGATGTAAAAACAAGTTGAGGACGCACCGACATATTCGAGCTGAAATTCAATAAAATTCTTACCTGTTTTTTCTCCATTCATTTTTTCCCACGAGTCAACAAAAAATCAAGAAAAGTACTGCATAGAATGGTGTGGGGCAACTACTTATAACCGCTGAATGAATATTTAAAATCTACATTTACTGTAGCAAAACGCGAATATCTGTCGAATCTGCGACACAAGTCCATCCAGCCAGCGGAAGTGAATGGGCTCAGAGCCTGTTCGAGTTCGAGCTGTTAAACTTCGAGCACCCCTTAGTGACAGGAGGACAGTACTGCAACTATACAATGCAACGAAATATATTTTCGAAACAACAACAAAAGAGAAGGAAAAATTAAACTAATATCACAGTATATATATATATATATATATATATATATATATATATATATATATATATATATA